AAAAAAAGCTTTTGGAAAGTGTATTTGAGAAGAATAAAAACACTTAAGTGATCGGGTTTGAGACAGTGAGTGGGAAATTTAATAAAAATACTAAGTAAAATAGAAATATTGAAACTAAAAACAGCAACAACCTTCTTCTAAAAGACTGTGAGAGGCAGCGAGAGGGATACGCATTGATAAGTGATAAAAAATATCACCGAAAAAAAATACAAAATGTGTAAGAAGTGAGCGTTGTTGCTTGTACGTAACAGTAGATAAAGGGGAAATAGTACTCAAAATCAAACGGTTATAGTGATCATTAAAGTGTAATGCGTCAATAACACAAATACAAACAAAGTTAAAAAGAACAAAACTTAGTGAAAAAAGTGTTGGTTAACCTAAACAACTTTTAAAAGAATTTTTAAGTATTTTTCAACATTACAAAAATTTTTGCGAGCTGAAAAATTCCAACGCAAAACAATACAAGTTACCAAAGCAGAGCAGAAAAAAATTACCGCCCGCCGTCAGCATCCTCATCGACGCCGCCGCCTTCCCCAACATATCCGCTGATGCAGCGGTGGTACAACCAACGTCGCAGCCAATGAAGCTTATGTATGTATGTACATACGTACGTCGCGCAGCTTCATTGCGCAACGCATTTGTAACGGTACACTGTCGTGTAATGCAACTACTTGTTATTGCTATTGTTAGTGTAACTAACGATCAATAGTCGCTGCTGATCGTCAACAGCTAGCAACGATGTAGACAACACAATTTTACAATTTATTTATGTGAAAGTGCCTGTGTGAGTGCGTTGTTTTTGTGCCATTTATGTATGTTTTGCAACGTTCACAAATTGACATACGCAAATTGACAATTCATCAAAACGGTTAAAAAAAAAATATCTACTTATACATATATGTACATATTTATAAAGCTTCAAGTGTGACCATTTGACTACATCGCTGCCCGTACGTTTATATTCACACTACATCAAGCAACCGTTCTTCGAGTTTACCTACGCGGCCTATCAATCAGCAAACACCTGTTTTGAAGCGATTTCGAGTGAGTGAAAAAAATCATAAATTTATACAAGAGTTATTCATTTATTTGCTTGCATTTATCACATAGCGCGAGTGTGTATGTAAAAAAAACTACTTAGTGAATGTGTATTTAAAACTCGTAGAAAAAATTAAAAAAAAGAAACACACACATAAATATAACAAAAAATATTACTCTATAAATGCAATTATATAATATGGATTGTACTGGCCGCCGTTCAAATAAAAATGAACATGATTCGGATTTAGGTGACGATTTGGTAAGTGGTCTTTGTAGACTGTATTGAGTTTGTGAGGAGAATTCCCTGAAAAGTTTCCAGGGGTTTGAATTTCTTGTTTGTTGTATGTACATACATGTGGGTGTTTCCATGAAAATGTAAACCGAAAATGCAAG